ACCCCCTTCGTTTTCAGCTTCTTAAATAGACAGGAGAGACACGAAGAAGGTTGAGCTGGTGATGTCTTTGCACTTGCTGTACTGCCGCTCATAACACATATCCACAGCCCCCGCCCATATTCATGTCAAGTATTAATTTGGGCTGAGGATGTAGCTCGGTGATAGATTGTGTGCTCAGCAGGCATGAGACTCTGAGTTTGATTCCCCAGCACTGAAAAATGAAATGCAATATATAAAGCAGCTGGACTTGGAAGACACCGGGATGCCACATAATTGTCATAAACTGAATAAAGTGCTGAGCATTCTTTTTTTCCCCCCCTATGGAGATTCTCATATCCCTGGCAAGCCAACCTAATCAGAGGTAAACTCTTAAGAGAAGGAACTAACTAACCATGATTCAGCACATTTAAAAAAGGAATTGTACCCATTCTTAGAAGGACAACCAAAGGAAACACCATCTGAGGTCTAAACAATGGTATCTGCTTGCCCTTTGATCTTAGTTTAAGAACACGTTGTACAATTTTTTTGTTGGAATACCACTGAATTTCCCATTTAACTTTCTTTAGGAGGACATCCACTGCTTGAGCCACACTCTTGCAAATTTTCTTCAAACTGCTTTTGCTGTTGAGTAGCTTGCAGGCATGGATTTATTTTCTGCTAACAAAAATCTTCATAAGTACAGGCAGCTCAAATGAAAAATAGTCCTACTGATCCTATGTTTATGAGGGAAAGACAGTACAGTGTATCTGGTTACAAAGACAAGTAGGGAGTATTCCATTTTTCTTCTAATTTATGTTTCCCTAGAGTAATTTTGTTCAAAAGATTGCCAGTATTTTTAGTACAATAAGTTTCTTGTTACTTGGACTAACACAGAGTGATTCCCTTTTCTGAGCACGATTCGAGGTTTTTTTTAATTTCATTTAATCCTAGCATCAGGAAATCAACACCTCGTTAATTCAAAATAAAGAAGTGAAGTCTGAAATACAGAAAAATGTGGATGTAAGGAAGCGTCAGTATTACTCTCACATGGAGCGCATATTACACATTAATGTACATGTGGGTAACTAAGAAAAAGACGTATATTAATAAAGTTTTGTGACACACATCAAACACCACAAACCTCAACGCTCTCACTGGCTACTCAGTAAAAATCAGGTAGCCCATTTCTAAAGGATCAGGTCTTACGGATTAATGAAGTGTGAGATACCGGTATTATCTACCGTTTCATCATTTTGATTTGCTAAAGCATCTTCCCAGTGCTGGCCACCGTGTTTAGCACATGGGCTACTAGAGTAGGTTAGCAGGATTTCAGCTTCTGCAGGCTGACATCCCATGGGAGACACAAACAAATGAGTAAGCAAATTTAAAAAGAAAAACTCCATGTGATCAGCTCGAGGAAGGAAATAAGCAGGGTGCTGGGGAGGAACAAACTCGGGTGGAGCGGCCCCAGTTCACACAGAGAGAGAGAGGTAGAGAAGGTCTTTCTGAGATGGGGAGTTTTCAGCTGGGACCTCAAGGATATTTCGGGATACTTCTCCAAGGTCACCAAATCAGCAAGGTTGTGTATTAGGCTACCAGGGCATTTTTAGCAGTGGAAAACAAACAGAAAGCGGCCCCCGTAGCCCTGATTAAATGCAAGTTCACGAGCTCACCTGGCACCGAGTGGACGAGTCACAGCAGCAGCAGACAGTGAGTCCTAACACCCAGCCTGCTCACCCAGACGAAGTTTACAACAGTCAACGTAAACAACAATGACCTGGCCAAACGACCAGCATTCTGGCTAGGAGAGAGACTCATCCTATTGATTCATGCTTCCTGGTAGTCTGCCGGATGACAGTGCTCACGGTGTTTTAACTATATTTCATGAGTAAACTATTCCTCCAGCCCCACATAAGAGGCATGTTTACAACTACAGAACACTTCCCCTTACACTTCTGCTGTGTAACTTTCTTAATCCACTAGATAGGGTGCTTTAAAATGCACCACTATCTCATGCAGGTTCTGCAATAGATGAGTCACGGAATAGGGCAGTTATCTTGACAGTGACACCAATTAGGAAAGCGGTGGAACCCTCCCAACATCCCTATTTAGAGAATCCACATTGCTAAGCAATTACTTTCTTCAAAGGACCTGTCCTTCTCTTGCTCAGCACCCAGTAATCAGATTTTATCCCGTTGTGAAATGCGCCTTTCTCACTGCTAAGTGGATTAGGATTAAATAGAATTGCTTGATTGTCAGCTGCATGGGTCACAGTTTGGATTCTACTTACCTAGAAAAGGGTCAACAGCAAGTGTGACGTATAGCCAGAGAGCCCGGGGATAGGATATGAGAGACTAGAGGTCCCTTCTCAGACCTCCCTTTCAATGCCAGGGTAGCCTGTCCCCACACCTGAAATTGTGTTATTGGTGAGTTCCCCTGGAACTTTTCAGATTTCAAATGAATCTTTTATGAAAAATGAGAACATCCCTAGGGAGATGTTACATTAATCTTCACCTTAGGAAGATTAGTTGTCAGCCAGCTTCAAAAAGTGTGATTCAGAAGCCCAGGGTACCTGCAGACCACAAAAGGTCAGAAAAGCAAGGAACGAGGGGAATTTAGAGGTCGCTAAACACAGTAAATGTCACCATACTTTACAAACTTGCCTCTAGCCAGCCCTTGAAATTTCAAATACCATCTGAAGTTCCTGAACCCTGGGATCCCTTGGGAATGATTTAAAAATACAGATTCCTGGTTTCCACCTCCACGCACGCTAACTGATTGAGATGGAAAGTCACGCAGGCATCAGGATTTTTTAAAGCCCCTAGGTGATTCTAATATGTAGGAACATTTGGAAATTTTGCTCTCAGTGTTTTACTGGGATGGTACATTGATTCCCTTCAGATGTCAGGCTTTTCTGTGCCAAAGCTTCTTGGCCTTGGTAGTGCTTTGGAAAAATCGAAGGTACTTGAAAAAAATCAAATAAAGATGCCTGAGCCAGGCATAGTGGTTGGTGTACCTCTGTAATCCCAGCACATGAGGAGGCTGAGGCAGGAGGATTTCAAGTTCAAGCCCCAGGATGGGCAATTTAGCAACTTGCAAGACCCCGTCTCAAAATAAAAAAAATTTAAAAAATTAAAAAAAAAAAAAAACAGGGGGTAGGGATGTAGTTCGAAGCAAAGGCCCTGAGTTCAGTCTCCAGAGCCGGGGAAAACAACAGCCTGGGCTCTGATGCAATGGCTCTAGGTCTAGAGCGGGATCCCTTAGTCCTTTAGGTGCCCCCAGGCCATGCCAACCAGCAGCTGCAACTGAGAACCATAGTCCAAGTCCCGTGGGCATTGATTTCCCTGCGACTGCAACCCGGGTTATCTGTGGAAGACCCAGGAGTGCCTTCTCCCCACACTTAGGTTCAGGAGAGGACTCTCCCGGGAGGGTAGCAGAACGTCTCTCTCAACGCTGTGCTGTCCGGAAGCTTGGAGGAAGGGGCCCTCGAGGGAAAGAGCAAGGGGTGGAATTTACTAAATCAGAAGCATAAAAGAATAAAGAACAACACTGCCCCTCCCACCGAGTATTATTGACTGGCATGAGAGAGAATTTCCTCAGGGTGCTTCCTAGAGGTACCTCCAGCTTGGATTTGGTTCCAATAAATTGTGAAGATTCTTGTCCAATCAGATCCCCTGGCAGCGCGAGTAGGCAGATTGGCAGGCCCCGCGCCTCCACTCCCTGTGAGATTCTGTTTCACTGATTTCCCAGGAGGATTTCTGCACCGCCTAGATGCCAGTCTTCCGGTCTCCACGCCCTCCCTTCCCCCTTGGCTCCTACCCTCCCGTCCTCCGCCCCCCAAAGCTCAGCGGAATAGAGAACCATAGATACACTTGTTTTTACAAGATCACCCAGGAGAGTCGCACGCCCTCAGGAGACGGCTACCTCTCCTGGAGACCCTGCGCTACTTTGGCAAGTAGCTGCTTACGCACCCTGGGCCCCGGGCAGAGCCGTGCGTCCCACCCCGAACAGGAAGCCCGCCCGAGACGCACCCCACGCGCGGCTGCGCCCACTCAGGGCGTGGCGACTATAGCCCAGTTCTCCCTATAGAGGACGCACCCCCTCCGTCCCTGCCCACGCTAAACCGAGTCTGTTTATGAATGAAGAGAGGCGCAAAATAGAGTTACTGACTCCGAAGAGTCTTCCTCTCTCGCGGATGAGACCACTAGAACGGGGAAAGGCTGCGTGTCTCGGTCCCGGTTTGCCACAGAGCATTTGTGGCACAGCTCGATTTAGCCGCCCTTGAATTTCCATTCTGTTGCCTGGCAACGGGATCAGCAGAGCTCAGCGCCCAACCCCGACCCTACTCCGCACCCTCTCCCTGCCCTTGCAGCTCGGGCGGCTTTGATTAAAGCGTCAACCCGTGGGGACAATGGCCAAGGGCATGTGAGCAAGGGCACTTCGTGGATGACCCAGACGGGCTGGGATGCGGCCCCCAACAGGCGAGAGCCCCGCCTGGCTGGGCGACGGGCGCGCTCCGGCTCCTTGTGCGACCTTCCTCTGCCACCAAAGCCCTTTCCCCCAACTCCGTGGATTCCCGTCAAAATGCCCGGGCCAGGTTTCCAAAGTTCTCAACTGCTGTCAGAGTCCCTAAAAATCGCGGTGGGAAAACTAGCAAGGGAGCAAAAGAAGACAGTTCGGAAGAGAAGGAGGGCTGAAAAGGCTTCTTCTTCCCTGGATGGCTACTGTCTACTCTCGGGGACTTTTCTGCCAGCGTCAACTTAGCCCGAGCCGGCAGGAGTGAGAAAAGCGCAGACCTCACTGGGGCGCCGGAGAGGGAAGCGGCCGGAGCGACGCCGCGCGCAGCCGGGCTGGGCGCGCAGGAAGCGCAGGTGGCGCAGGTGGCGCGGCCCACGCGTCCCCCGCGTGCCGGCACGCCAGGCGCCAGGCAGGGCCACCGCGCGGGGGGACTCCTCGTCCCTTCGCACCACCACCCAGGATCCCCGGACACTGGAAAAGAGCGAGATGTCCTAAGTCCTTACCCAGGTTCACGAAGCTCATGACCATGTCGGCGTCGTTGAGGAAAGCGCTGTCCTGCGCGGTGGCCAGTGGCGACGCGCCGCCTCCGCCGGGTGCCGGGGCCAGGAGGCTCTTGCGCACGAGGGGATGTGCGGCTCCGGGCGATGGCCGGAGCCGGGACGAGCTGGCCCCTCCGTGGAACCCAGCGTGCCTCGGATCCCCCACCCTGTCCTCGTCGTCGGCGGCGGACAGGGCGTTGTACAGGTCCAGCATGAAGAGGGGCGCGGATTTTAGCCGCCCGGGAGGGGGCTCCCCGCGGGGCGTCTGCTGCTGCGGGAGCGCGGGCCGCTGCGGCTGCTGGAGGCCGTGGAGGGGCCGCGGCCGGTGCGGGAGCCCCAACACCGACAGGATTTCCTTCTGCATCTCCCGCTTCTCGTGCGTCTTCAGCCGCCGGTAGAGGAAGCCCGAGGACGAGGACTGCGGCGGCAGCGGCGGCTGCTCG